GGGCTAGAACCCATGAATCATGAGATCATGACCTGAGCAAAAGTCGGATGCTTAACCGACTGAGCCACCCAGGCGCCCCTCCACCTGTACTTCTGACCAACCAGTTCGAGATCAGAGATTCCCATGACCCCCTACTTGGGTTCATTTAATTTGCTAGAGTGGTTCCTAGAACTCAGAGAAGCATTTTACTTACTAGATTATGGTTTATAATTGTCAGATGACAAACAATTTAGTAATGAGTTTCATGTTCTTTATTCAAGGGAAAAACTGCATGGATTTGGAGTGTACTGTGCCTTAGAAGCAGTGGAATACTCCTCCCAAGGCATGTTGGGCAAGCGTGTATTTTGCAGAGTGTTAGAAGGGGCAACGTGGAAATGGCATCATTGGCTAGGATTGCATATCTGACTTTATTTAGAGAGATCAAGGAACAAGCAAATAAGTATAGAGTTGTCTGGTGTTAGGGGAGTAGCTGACTGGATATATACCACGTTTCTGGTCAATCTGACCATTTACAGGAACACAAAAGTTAAAAGTTATTTTTTAATGTTTATTTATTTTTGAGACAGAGAGAGACAGAGCATGAATGGGGGAGGGTCATAGAGAGAGGGAGACACAGAATCCGAAGCAGGCTCCAGGCTCTCAGCTGTCAGCACAGAGCCTGACGCAGGGCTTGACTCACGACTTGACTCACGACTCACGGATTGTGAGATCGTGACCTGAGTGGAAGTTGGACGCTTAACCGACTGGGCCACCCAGGCGCCCCGGAACACAAAAGTTTAGTTTGCTGATGATGCACCCTGGGCTGGAGATGGCTCCATCTTAGGCTTAGAAATTTATTTTAACATTATAAAAGGATATAACTGAGGAAGAGCTGGAAGGAAGAGATGCATAAGCTAAGGTATGTGAGAAAGGACAGGAACTTCATGCTCTGTGAGCCCCTTTCCCCAAATCTCCAGATATGTTCACCAGTCTGGAAGCTCTCTGAAACGCATCCTTTTGGATTTATATGGAGGCTTCATTACATAGGCATAGTTGATTAAATCACTCCCTGGAGGTGAAGGGGGACTACTAATCCTCTAGTCCCCCGAGGTTCCCCTTGGAACCACCCCCATCCTTAGGTTACCTAGGAGTTTTCCAAAAGTAACCTCATTAATATAACAAAAGATACCTTTATCCCACTCCTCAGAAATGCCAAGGTTTTTAGGAGCTCTTTGCCAGGGACCCAGAAGAAGGCCAAACGTGCATTTCTTATTCTAAATCACAATATCACAGAAAGGTATGGGAGTGGGGGGATTGAACTTCCGTGCACTCTTTGAGCGGTGCCACCTTCCCAGCAGTTGTGTTCACCAACCCAGAAGCTTCTACACCATCTTAATTTATTATGTTTTTAAGATTTATGTTAAAATTTTGATTGGCATCTGCTAGTATATTTATTGAGTTACTCTTGGGGAAGTAGTTTAAGTGTATAGTTCGAGAATTAGAAATAACTTTATAAGACACAAGGCAGCCTATATATGTGAATAAGTAGAATTTGTTTAAATGCATAAAACTATTACCGTCTATTGGAGATATACAAAGAAAATCTCAAATATTGGTTGAACATATTTTTTCAAGCTCCATGTTTCTATGACAGTAAAAGTAAAATCCATATAACCTTTCTCACAAAGGGAAGGAAAAGAAATCCAAGAGATCTGCCTGAGAATTAATTAAGACTTTAGCCTCAGAGGAACTTAAATTAATGGAACATGGATTCATAATGCCAATACTAACAATCTTGTCTATATTACAGCTCTATAATAAAAATGAATTATAAAATATAACAAGTTTAAAAAATGAAATATGACAATTTATGTCTATTAGTAACAGAAAATGAGTCTGAAATTGTAATCAACAAAATAATTTCCTTACATGTCATCAAAAGTCCAAAGAGGATATAGGTTTCAAGCGAAGCTTAATAGGTCCAACAACTTCATCAAATAACCCAGTTTCTCTGTGTCATGAGTTAGTTTCCTTTCTGCCCTCTGTGATGTCAGATTTACCTCAAGGCAGCCACCTGGGAACCTTGAGGTACTTAAATCTTCCAACACCTTCTGCATTTATACTCTGGAGGAAGATGTTTTATATATGAGCATTCCTAGGAAGGAAACCTTGGCGTCCCTTTTGATTTGACTGGTTTAGGTTACATGCCTATCTCTTAACTGGTAAGTATGGGTAGAGAAATGCATTGTGCTGATTGGTTTAGACTTTGCTGTTCCTCCAGGTTAAGCCAGTCAGACTCACTCTCTCCATGAACTGGAGTAGGTCAGTTCCACCCAGATCTCTTTAGCCTGTACCTTTGGAGTGAAAGGAGGATGACAAGGAACAGATGACAAGCACACAATTCTGGTTTGTTAGAGAATGTCTTCAAATGACCTTAACTGAATTGTAATATTATTTGGCAATAACAAGGCAAATATTATGGTTATCTAGTTTATTAACAATAAATAATAAAAGAACAAGTTTCCAGTTAAATTTTTTCCTGATCACATTTCCCCTCCTCCTCCTCCTCCTCCTCTTCCTCCTCCTCCTCCTCCTCCTTCTTCTTCTTTTTAAATTTTATAGAGAAGAGAGAGAGCAAGAGTGCAAGTGGGGGAGGAGGGCAGAGAGAGAGAGAGAGAGAGAGAGAGAGAGAGAGAGAGAGAGAGAATCTTAAGCAGGCTCCATGCTCAGCATGGATTCCAACTTGGGGCTTGATCCCACGACCCTGGAATCATGACCTGAGCCATAATCAAAGTCAGACGCTAAACCAACTGAGCTACCCAGGCTCCCCAACAATCATCATTAATGATATATAAAAAATTTCTTCCAGTATTACATTTGACCAATTCAGTTCCAGTATATTCTTGCTCTGTGTGTAAATGTATTCGTGTCCATTTGCATTCAGGAAAAAAAAGTTTTGCTAGACAGATAAGTTTAGGAATATAAGTTTAAACAGGGTTCTGTGATTCATTCTGCTCATCTTTTCCCCCATATTTCTTAGAGTATAGAAACCTTAGGCCCAGAGAGGGTGCATTGATTTATTAATACTATACTAAGTTTTCAAATGGAGTGCAATGAACTGTTTTGGGAATCCATGAGATGTTCAAAGGTTTGACTTCTGAAAAAGAAATATCACAATTGTCCTTAAAACTAAGAGGGGACAAGCTGGGGTGGAGCGATTGATATGAGGGTAGCAGGATATTTTGTGGTGTTAGAAATGTTACATATTTTGATTCTGGTGGTGGATTCATGACTGTATGCATTAAACCAAACACAAAAAAGGGTGAGTAAAAAGAAACAGCCAAGCAGCCCAGTAACATCCCATGCTTTTTTTTTTAAAAAGCAAATTCTAGGAGTTTTTATTGTTTGAATAACAATACACAAATCAGGCAGAGAAGTTTCTAATAAAATGATGGCCAAGTTTTAATGTATCTGCCTGTTGATCCTTTATCTTCTAAGTACTTAAGATATTTTCTTTTTATATTAGATTTTTTTTCTGATTATAAATGCAACTTAAGTCTGAATAGATAATTGTATTTTCTTTTAACTCTCCCTCGTTCAGCTTTCTTTAAACAGAAAAAAGGGAGCGGTGTGGCGCCCGTGTGACTCAGTCAGTTAAGTGTCTGACTTCGTCTCAGGTCATGATCTTGCGGTCTGTGGTTTTGAGCCCTGCATTGGGCTCTGTGCTGACAGCTGAGAGCCTGGAGCCTGCTTTGGATTCGGTGTCTGCTTCTCTCTCTGCCCCTCCTCTGTTCATGCTCTGTCTCTCTCAAAAATGAATAAACGTTAAAAAAAATTAAATTTATGGGGCACCTGAGGTCACGATCTCGCGGTCCGTGAGTTTGAGCCCCGTGTCAGGCTCTGGGCTGATGGCTCGGAGCCTGGAGCCTGTTTCCGATTCTGTGTCTCCCTCTCTCTGCCCCTCCCCCGTTCATGCTCTGTCTCTCTCTGTCCCAAAAATAAATAAACGTTGAAAAAAAAATTAAATTTATAAAATAAAAAGAGAAAGGGGAGAGAAAAAAGAACAAAGGGACAAATACCTCTTTATTATGTATTCAGCCATAGTTGCCCAAACTGTGGTTTTAATATGATACTGCAATTCAGTCTTCTAAATCATTGTAGATTATAAGTGTAGGTTATATTTTATTCTCTTAAAGAAACTCTGGGGTACCAGTAGTATTGATATTACTGATAGTCTCCATGTGATGAAGATAGAAACTGGTTTGGAGGCAACTGGAAGAGGTCTTCAGCAAACTGGAGACCAACGGGAGATTACACAGAGGCAAATTTCATTGAAAAACCTAGAAGAATGCTTCCCACTGAGGCTGACCCAACCATGGCCACTGGTCCATTTCTTGCTGTTAGTTGGGCTTCTGTTTAAGGCATCTCTTGTGGTGGAGTTGTAGCCTTCTCTTGGTTTTGAGCTACACTGGGATCTTTGTGGAACATAGACTTCTTTGAAGTCTGTTAAATGTAATTGAAAATTTCACTATCTGTGATACTCATTGTGCGGGTCTCACCACATTCAGTTTGTCCAAGGTGGGGCTTTTGGCTGGATTCCTGGAGGACTTGCTGCAACCTCCCTAATCACTTTTGGTAGTTGGGTATCTTACTAGCTAGATAAAGTTAATTATCTGTCATGTTTGTTGGGTATAGAACTTTTGTTATGATAGAACTTAAAAAAAAAGTCTAATTAGCTTTGGTCATTAGCTGTTGAATATTATGAAAAAAGGTCACATGATATGGTTTCTTCTATTTGATCCAATTTGAAAGTCATCCTCCTTTCTAAATAGCTTATGCTACCTCTAAAATGTTGTCTGAAATGTAAAAAGCAAATCAAAGGTTTAATAAACTAGCATGTTAGGTTTATTTTTGAGGTAAAGTGAAGATACATATTTTTATATTTGTGTGCATTTTATACATCAGCTTACTTTTAGAAGTATTTCTAACTTGTGCTTGCATTTTTGTGTGCTTTTTTTTAGTGAAAATATTCTCTTTGGGATGGGAAATCCTCTTCTTGACATCACTGCTGTAGTGGATAAGGATTTCCTTGATAAGTGAGTATTAAATTCTTTGTATGTACTATGTGAAACTTATATCAAAAGAAAAACTGTTGAAGACTTTGGACTCTAATACTTTCAATTGGAGGAAAACTCAGGAAATTTAATGTCATTAATAGCAAGTTGCACTATAATTATTTATGAATTGACCACAGTTTTCTCTGGGAAAACTTTAGGTACATTTGTTCAATCCTGTTGCTAGTTTCACTTGAAATTAATTAACTAATTCAAGTTTATTTTTGAGAGAGGGAGAGAGAAAAACTGCATGCATGTGCATGGGTGCAGGGCAGAGAGAGAGGGGGTGGCTAGAGGATCCGAAGCAGGCTCTGTGCTGACAGCAGAAAGCCTGATGTCTGTCTTGAACTCACGAACTGTGAGATCATGACCTGAGCCGAAGTCACATACTTAACTTGATTGGGCAACCCAGGTGTCCCTGAAATTTATTTTTTATTCTCTGCAAAGAAGAAGTATATATGATTTACCTAATGATTTAGTTCCCAAATTTTTAAATTGTTATCAGTGAACTACATCTGTCATGGTGCTATAACATAAATGGGAAAAGAAATAGGATTAGAGAGGATAAGAAGAATATGCAGGACATAATTCAGAGGTGATCATTCTATATTAATTCTCCCTTAATAGTAAATTCTGATGTTTTAAATTTAGCTGAGAAATCAGTTTGTGTTTATTTTTCTGGCTGTTTGACACCATTTGGTACAAAGAAAAAATTAAGTAGTAAAAAAGGGATTTATAATGAGGAAGCAAGTTCTGTCTGTGCCCAAGGGCAACCACTTTTTTTTTTTTAATTGAGGTAAAGTTCACTTAAAATTTATAATTTTAACACTTGTAAAGTGTGTAATTCAATGACTGCCAATACATTTTTAGGGTTGTACAACCATCACTGCTATCTAATTCCAGAACATTTTCATCACCCCAAAAACAAAACTGTACCTGAAATGGGTAATCATTTCACTATCCCTGCCTGCCCTTTCCCCACCTCTGCTCCATGCTCTGATCTCTTGGGACCTACCATTCTGCTTTCTGTTTCTATGGATTTGCTTATTTTGGCCATTGTATTTCATATAAATGGAAACAGTTTGTGACCTTTTGTGTCTGTCTTATTTCACTTAGCATGATGTTTTTCAAGGTTCATCCAAGTTGTAGCATGTATTAGTAACTCATTCCTTTTTGTGGCAAAATAATATTCCATTGTGTACACACGCGCACACACACACACACACAACACACACTGTATTGGTTGATGAGCACTTAGGTTTCCTTTTTTGGCTGTTGTGAATCAAGCTGCTATGAACATTTGTGTACGAGTTTTTGTGTGGACATGTATTTTCATTAATCTATGGTATTGGTATCTATTGGAGTGGGATTACTGAGTCATGGTAATTCTGTGTTTAACTTTTTGAGGAACTACCTAACTTTTCTACATGGTTGCACCCTTTGATATTCCTACCAATAATGTATGAGGATTCCATTTTCTTGCCAAAACTTGTTCTTTTCCCTTATTAATTAATTAATTAATATTTATAATTTTTTTTATTTTTGAGAGAGAGCATAAGCAGGGGAGAGTGGCAGAGGGCGGGGGTGGGGGGAGAGAGAGAGAGAGAGAGAGAAAGAAAGAAAGGAAGAAAGAAAGAATCTTAAGCAGGCTCCATGCTCAGCACAGAGCTGGATGCATTACTCAGTCCCACGACCCTTGCATCATTACCTGAGCCAAAGTCAAGAGTCAGATGCTCAACCAACTGAGCCACCCAGGCACCCCATTTTATTATTTTTAAATATTTTATTTTTTAAGTAATCTCTGCACCCAACATGGGGCTTGAACTCATAATACCGAGATTAAGAGTCACATGTTCCACTGACTGAGCCAGCCAGGCGCCCCTTCCTTTGTTTAAATTATAGCCATCTTAGTGGGTGTAAAGTGATATTTCATTGTGGGTTTTGATTTGCATTTTTCTAATGACTAAAGATGTTAAACATCTTTTTCATGTGCTATTCATGTATATTAAAGTCCTTCACCCATTTCTGAATTTAGTTGTTTGTCTTTTGTTGTTGAATTGTAAGTGCTCTTTATATATTCTGGATAATAGACCCCTTTATCAGATAAATGATTTGTAAACATTTTCTCCCTTTCTTTGGGTTATTTTTGATTTCTTTATAGTTTCCTTTGATGCACAAAGATATTTAATTTTGATGAAGTTCAGTTTATCTATTTTTTCATTTGTTGCTTGTGCTCTTGCTGTCATAATGAGAATTCATTGCTAAATCCAGAATCACAATGTGTATGTGTTCATTTAAGATTTGTTTTAGCACTTAAATTTAGGTGTTTGATTTGTTTTTAGTTAATTGTTTTATTAGTTGTGTGTTAAGGGTTTAGTTCATTCTTTTGCATGTGGAAATCTGGTTATTTCAGCATCATTTGTTGAAAAGACTATTCTTTTTCCCATTGAATGCTCTTGGTACTTCTTATGAAAATCAATTGCTTATAGACTTGAGGTTTAATTTCTGGATTCTCAATTCTTTCCACTGATCTTTATGTCTGTCCTTTTGCCATTACCACACTGTTTTCATTATTGCAGCTGATTATTTCAGTAGTAAGGTTTGAAGTAATGTGAGGAAGTGTGAGTCCTCCAACTTTGTTGTTTTTTAATTTAAGCTTGTTTTGTCTATTTAGGGGGTGCCTGGGTAGCTTACTCGGTTAAATGTCCCACTTTGGCTTAGGTTATGATCTTGTGCTTTGTGATTTTGAGCCCCTCATCCGGCTCTTTGCTGACAGCTCAGAGCCTGAAGCCTGCTTCAGATTCTGTGTCTCCTCTCTCTTTGCCCCTCTCTGCTCGTACTCTGTCTCTTTCTCTCAAAAATAAACATTAAAAAAAAAAAAGATGTCCATTTGGAATCTTTTGAAATTCCATATGAATTTTAGAATCAGCTTATCTATTTCTGCAAAAACGGCACTTGGCATTTTGTATGGGACTGTACTGAATTTGTAGATCAGTTTTGTAAGTACTGACATTTTAACAATACTAAGTCTTTCAGTTCATGAACAGGGGATGTCTTTCCATTTATTTAGGTTGTCTTTAAGTTGTTTCAAAAGTGTTTAGTAGTTTTCAGTGTGTAAGTCTTACATTTTCTTGGTTAAGTTTAATCCTAAGTATTTCATTATTTTTGATGTTACTGTAAATAGAATTGTTTTATTAAGTTTATTTTTCTTTGTTTTTTTCCACAGTACTTGTTAGTTGTTTATTTATCAAGAGAAACTATTCCACAGTCCAATATTCATGTTTCATAGTTCAGGGATATAGGTCAGTGACCAACTTCCGTGGAACCAACCGAAAGAAAGTCACTTTGCTCTCTGAAAGATACCAGCCTTCATCATTTCCTCAAAATCTTTTCCGGGAATCATAATTTCTGTAGAAATCTACATAAACCTTCTTTCTGGTTTGTCCACAGCAAACTTTTAGGAAGCTGGAACCCCCAGGGTTATAATGAATGTTGCAACAATACGAAATTACAGATGCTTAGCCAGAAGGCCTTGCATCTGAAGTTTTAGCAAAGCCCTGGAAGTCACGGTATTTATTCTCCTCAACACCATCTTCAAACCCAAACTTAATTTTACTTTTGGATTATTCATTGCTAGTACATAAAAATACACCTGATTTAGTGGGGGGACAACCATTGTTAACAAATTGTATTTTTTAATGTCCTGGAAACTACCCCTATAACTCTTTTAGGTAAACTTGTATGTCAAAGGATCAGGCAAGAATTTATAAATGTGTAAATTTGGCCTATTGTAATATAATAAGAAATGGCTCAGATCATGATCCCAGGGTCATGGGATCCAGCCCTGTGAAGGACTCTGTGCTGAGCATGGAGCCTGCTTAAAATTCTCTCTTTCCCCTGCTTGCTCTCTCTCTCTCTCTCTCTCTTTCTCTCTCTCATTCAAATTTATTTATTTATTTTTAAATGTTTATTTTTGAGAGAGAGAGAGAACACATGCAAGCAGGGGAATGGCAGAGAGAGAGGGAGATAGAAGATACAAAGTGGGCTCTGCGCTGACAACAGAGAGACTGATGTAGGGCCCAAACTCATATTTATGTCTATATAGACTGATGTCTTGCCTATAGACTTGTGGGTTAATTTCTGGATTCTCAATTCTTTCCCATTGATCTTTATGTCTTTCCTTTTGCCACTACCACACTGTTTTGTTTTGATATTGCAGCTGATTATTGCAGAAGTAAGTTTTGAAGTAATGTGACAGAGTGTGAGCCCTCTAACTTTGTTGTTGTCTTTTAAGATTGTTTTGTCTATTTAGGGGGTGCCTGGGTAGCTCATTCGGTTAAGAGTCCCACTTTGGTTGTGAGATCATGACCTGAGCTGAAATCAAGAGTCACATGCTCAACTGACTAGGCTAAGATTTTTTTATTTTTTAGGTAATCTCTACACCCAACATATGATTAGAACTCACTACCCCGAGATCACATGCTCCACTGACTGAGCCAGCCAGGCCACCCTGCATTTATTTGTTTATTAAAAAAATTTTTTTTAATGTGTATTTATTTTTGAGAGACAGAGAGACCAAACATGAGCAGGGGAGGGGGCAGGGAGAGAGGGAGACACAGAATACGAAGCACCCTCCAGGCTCTGAGCTGTCAGCACAGAGCCTGACGCAGGGCTCGAACTCACAAACCGTGAGATCATGACCTGAGCCCAAGTTGGACGCTTAACTGACTGAGCCACCCAGGCGCCCCAGGATATTTGTTTTTAAAAGTTCATGCAGATGTGATCAGACTGGTTGTGATCTGACAGCTGTGTGCTGATACTACAGAGAGCTCAAGTTGCTTCTTTGTTTCATTAGCAGCTCATCCTAAATAAGCTGAAACTTAGTATTTTTGTTTTGAGTTTTAATTTTTAAACTTGATTTTTGACGTCAGTACTTGGAGATAAAAAGCAAGGTTTTGGATCCTAATCATAAATGTAGAGAC